GTTGTGTGTTGTTGTAGAAAGCATTAGACATGTTATTGACCGAGCAGGGGCCAGTTGGATGGATCCCATCACCATTTACCTTCAGAATGAGCGCTTTCCCAAAAACAAGAGAGAGCACACAAATTACGGTTGAAGGCATCTAGATTTTGGTCATCCCCAAGTGGAGAATTGTACTATCACTCATTCATGGGCCTGTACCTACTTTATGTACACCTTGCAAAAGTGCATGATTTTCTTTTTGAGATGCATGAAGGAAGTTATGGGGCCCATATAAGAGAAAGGTCACTTACACACCGACCACTTTCCCAAGGATACTGGTGGCTTTACATGCAAAAGCACGCACAACAATACGTAAAGTGCTTTGAAAAATGCTAGAGGTTCTCCCCATTACCAAGGCAGCCAACATAAGACTTAATCCCTCTCACGAGGCCATGGCCTTTTGCACAATGGGGGTTAAATATTATCGGGTTGTTACCCAAGCACCCATAAATAAGAAGTATCTTTTTGTCAGGACTGACTACTTCACAAAATGGGTAGATGTCTAACATTTGGCAAACATTCACGACACTTACACAAAGAGGTTTGTATGGAAAAATATCAACACAAGGTATAGAATACCTTTGACATTAATCTCTAATAACATAACCTAATTCGATAGTGAGCTATTTAAGGCATTTTGTCAGCACTATGAGATCCGAAATCATTATTCCACCCCCGTATACTCGCAAAAAAAAAAAAAGAACAGGTGGAGATATCGAATAAAACAATTCTCGACAAAATAAAGAAAAGTTTGAAATGGGCAAAGGGTAATGGGTGGAAGAATTGTCTAGCGTGTTGTGGAGGTACCAAACCACGCCGCACCACACAACAGGATAAACTCCCTATGCGCTAGCATACGACATGGAAGCTTTGATACCTTTGGAAATTGGCCTCCCTAAAATTAGAATCGACCTAGCTAGTAGCATGGAAAAAAAAATTCATAGTCAAATAGCTGGATTTAGGAGAAAAAAGAAGGGAGACCATGACCATAAGACTAACAACCTATCAGTAGCAGATGTCTTAAAAACATAACAAGAAGATACACCCCCAAGCCTTTAATTATAGGGATCTGGTTTTAAGGAAAATGGTGGAACTCCATAGGCAGTATGCTCAGAGCCAGCTGGGATGGACCTTATAAGGCCACGTAGGTCAGATGAAATGGGTATTACAAATCTGAGACCGTGGAGGGAAAGCCTCTTCCATGATCATGGAATATGACTAACCCTTGGAAGTTCTACTTTTGAAGTGCCTTCAAAGGAGAATGAAATGCCGAAGTACCTTCAAAAAACTCGGAGTGCCTCCAGGGAAACGCCGAAGTACCTTCGAAAAATAGGATTGCCTCCTGAGAAATGTTGGGCGCACAGGACCCCTTCTGAGTTACCTAGTAAGATCTTACTTAGTAAAGACTATGAAATGTAAGCCACAATTTTTTCTATAAAAATCTGGGTTGCAAAGTACTTTTGTAGATTTCACACCAATGACTGAATCTTTGTGAGGCAAAGGGGAAAAGACTTGGGAAGGTCCAAACATGTTTCAACCTACTGCCAAGGCAGGGAACAAAAATCCCTAATAGAGGTTTAGACCTAAATCAGGTGTAGCCACCTGATTAAAATTTAGGCCCGAGGTTTGGCATGACGATGCAATCTAAACGGTAAAGTTCTGAGGCTGATTAGATCGGTGAGTTGGTACAAGAAGTTGCAAATCAAATAACTTAAGAAAAGACGTAGCAATTTGCTCAGGGCTGAGCCTTTGTGAAGGCCTAATGTTCTAAGTATGAAAGGCAATTGCAGTTTGCTAGGGATCGAGCCTTTTGAAAGCATAATGTTCTAAGTATGAAAGGCCCTAACAGTTTGCTAGGGGGCCGAGCCCTTTAAAGGTATAATGTTCTAAGTATGAAAGACCCTATCAGGTTACTCAGGACCAAGCCTTTTTTAAGGCATAATGTATAAAGTGTTAAAGGCCGTAGCAATTTGCTAGGGCTGAGCCTTTTTGAAGGCATAATATTCTTAGTATAAAAGGCCAAAGTAGATTAATATAGGCCAAGCCTTTTTGAAGGCATAATACTCTAAGTATGAAAGACCCTAATAGTTTGCTTAGGTCTAAGCCTTTTAAAGGCATAATGTTCTAAGTATGAAAGGTCCTAGCTGGTTGCTAAGGGCCGAGCAGTTTTGAAGGCATAATGTTCTAAGGCCCTAACAGTTTTATAGGGTCTAAGCTTCTTGAAGGAATAATGTCCTAAGTATGAAATGCCCTAAAAATTGCTAGGAGTTGAGCCTTTGGAAGGCGTAATATTCTAAGTAGAAAGGCCCTAGCAGTGTGCTAGGGGCCGAGCCTTTTTAAGATGATGTTTTGAGTGTGAAAGGCCCTAGCACTATGCTAAATGCCGAGCCTATAGAGAAGGTAGAGTACTAAAGGCCCTAACACTTGACAAGAGGTTGGGCTTGTTTAAAAAAACAATAATACAAATGATCGTTATAAAGAAGCACAGTTTAATACGAAAAGAGATTCACATTCCATTCAACAAAAGGGGTTGTTACATAGATGTCTTCTATATAAAAATAAAACATTCTTTGCAGCAACAAGAAAATAACCCACATTAATGATGGGAAAACAGCTTAGAGAAAAAGGGACATTGGCGGCATGAAGAGCAGAATTCCAGCCATTCTTAAAATGGGCCTTCCCAATCACAGGGATTTGCGAAGATAAATCCTCTTTAGCTTTAGTCATCTCTTCTTCAAAAGGCATCATCTTCCTTGCCTTTTGACTGAGACTAGAAGAATTCATTCTGATTAGCCCTAAAAAGTGCAGAATTGAATTAAGATTTAGGGTTAATAGTGTGCATTAAATGAATTAAAAAGATTGATTTATAAAGTATTATGGTTAATGTGTATTTTTTTTTATTTTGTAGGATTTTAAACATAATTACAAAAGTTTAGAAGGATAAAAGTGAGGAGGTTGAATAAAACAAGGGAGGCAAGTGTAATTCACAAGTCAACAAAGTCCAAGAAGGAGGCTGCTAAGCAAGGAAAACCAAAGAATTGCCACCGTCTGGATAGTGGTGGCGGCGTTTGGATGGTGCTCCAACCGCCTTTGCCCTCTTCTTCCTCCCATTGGTCCATTTGAGCGACGAAACCCCCTAATTGGCCAGCTTGGGTGACTGCCACCTTTATCCCCCCTTTTGGTGTCTATAAATAGCCCACTTCAGTTCATTTTCAAGAGGGGAATCCAGGAAAGAAAAGAGGAAGGGAAAAAAGAAAGAGAGACTTCAGGGAGTTTTTCAATCAGAAAAAAGAGAGAAGCCCTACCCTAATGACTTCCCATCAAGAATTTTCTCTACTTCTACATTTCTGTTTATCTTTTTTACTTCGAGGATTGAACCTCTCTCACTTTTACGCCCTAGTAGTAATAAGAGTAGTAGTGTTTCAACTATTCATCGGAGAAGGACTTGTTGTATTTTGTTTTCGGTTGTAATGAGATTATCTCAATCTTCTTGCTTGTCTATAGCAATGAAGCGTGAGTAGTTCGTTTATACTCTTCGGTGAAGGGTGAATGCATGTGTAATATTTTTTAAGTTATGAAAATGCCAATGTTTTATTTATGTGTTAATGTTTATACCTCCCTTAATTGATGGATGGTTATTATTATAATATGCTCATGGTTATGAACACCGAGTGAAGCTTATTCCTATATACCAGTCTATTTATAAGTTATTACGTACTTCATGCATGATTCAACAATGCATGCATTTGGGTTTTATGTAACAGTTGGGAGATTGGTTATAGACGGGTTAAATCTTGTCATAGCTAATGTTTTTGATTCAATGTATAAATCGGAACTACATCTTCATTAAATCATCAACTTGCCGATCAAATAGTTAGGGTAAACCTTTTGAATGGTTTATCTTCAAGTTTACTCAAGTTATTTGGTTGTTTCATGGTACATAGACCTTCCAGCTAACCTAACCAGTTGTTGTGATATGGTTCAGTTATACGTTAAATCTACCAGTTAACTTTCCAGTAAAATAGGAATTAATTGCTATAAGGTGGCATTTTTATAGACAAGCAGTGTAACGCATGTTGGATCCCCGAACTTAAGAGTATCCTTTATCATCATTATTCAAAGTTTAATTAAGTGTCTATTTGATAATTTTAAGCTCACATGACAAGCTATTTCATTGCACACATCACACACATCAATTTTATCCTTTTCTATTTTGAATACCGATAGTTAGCTCCATGTGGGTTTAAACTTGGATTTAGGCTGAGAAATATTACAATTTGACCACTTCTACTTGGGGTTGGATTTAAATTAGGTTAGATCACATACTCCTTTAGCAGGGCAGTATGTTCATCTATTGTTTGGGAAAGTTCACTAGCCAATTGCGTCCTCCGATAGTTTCAGCTCAAAATTTAAAGCCTTTAATTATCCATCTCCTTTGTCAACTCAATCATTTAGGCTTGTAGAACAAGCATGTCCTCGCAAAGTTTGGCATTCTTTGTTTCTAGGGTCTCATTCTTCTCCATGGTGGCCATGTGATCATATATGACCTGTTTCATAACCTTATCCTTCTTCATAATTTTAGCTCCAACCTCATGGACTTTTTATAAACCCTGCTTAAAGATGACACTTTAACAAAAATATATTTATATACAAGAAGGAGAAGAATGAAGGAAGGAGTCATACCAATAACATTTGCTGAATAGCCTACCAAGCTATTTAATCATCGGACATCTTCTCGTTTGTCGCTAAGTCCTGAGGAAGGATGACACCCCTCGCAATCCCAACTGCCACATTCATGTCTTCAACGGCTGAATCTCACACATTAGTCTCTCTCCCTTTCGCTTTTAAAATAGGTCAGAAAGGGGGAATGACACATTTGGGGAGGACTGAAGGGCTTGACTCCGAAACTTTTTGCTTTTTTGGTGCACAGTCCTTAGCCACGATAAGCAAAGAATCGTCACCAGATTGGACTTGGCAGGGGAAGAAGAAGAAATAGGAACTTCAGAGAACTTAAGGGTCTTAGAATAAGAAGGAGTTACTAAGTCACGTTGAATTTTTAGGTTGTCTTGAACGACATCCAACTCTACTTCACCGAAGGGATAATCTGAAACTATTATTTGTTTAGGCTCGGTCAATTGCTGCTGAGCAGGTTCATCAAAAACTTGGATTTGACTGGGGATAGAAGAATAAGTCGCCTCAAAGGTCTCTGTTGGGGCCGGGAAATCAAGGAAATTCCTTACTGGCATATTTCGACTAGAGGAAGTAGTAGCAAAATTCTATCGAGACCGAGGAGTATTGGTACGTTGAGCCTGCAAAGCCTCATGATCTTCCACAAGAATTGCATTTGCTCAGTCCAGCACAATAATGAAGGACTGATAGGTCGGCTTATAGCCAAGTAATATTTGTGCAGCTAAACAAAATAGGCTCTCATTAAAAGCCCACACCTTCTTCAAATCTTTTATCCTCATCAAACGCTCATAAATTTTCCCCTTAATGGTCTAACCTAGCAAAAAAAGGCACATCAGCAAAACAAGATAAGGAAACTAGAAAACTTGAATACATGTATATGCATATACCTGGAGTGCCTTCTTCAAAAAGACACCTATATGAGGGAGTTTCACCAGCCTTGTATTTCCAATTCTCAAAAACGAAGATGATACGACTTTCATGACCCTTATTAGAATTAGGCAGATGGGTTACTAGGTGGCTTTCTTTCCTCCCCACCCTAAAGTAATAGTTATCACCAACTGGCTTGCAGTAGTAGAGGAGCTCCTAAAGTCCTAGATTCACCCCCAGGAGGTCGTTCAGAGTAGCAATCCCCATCACGATTCTGAAGAAGTTAGGGCAACAGTGTATAGGGCACAACTTCAAAGCTGAGAGCACCTATAGAAGGAGTGGGTGTAAAGGAAACCTCACACCACCCTCAGTAATGGCCAGGGTGTAGATTGGGATAGAATTCCTGGTACCAATGACAGATCATTGATGCCGGCAAATCAAACCTTGATGTTGTCCAAAATCTGGTATTTTATCTTAAAAGTTGGGACATCGTATGAAGTAAGGGGAACCATTGAAAGAAAGATGACACAGAAGATGAGAAGCAAGAAAACTTTACAATAGAGTGTGAGAATGTAATGTAAAAAGTAAAAAGCAAAACCTCTTTAAAAGGGACGAAAGAGGATACTTGGAAACCAAAGGATGAAACATTAAATGCGACTATTTGTTTCTGGCAAAGAGAAGATGTGCAAGGCAAAAAGATCAAGTGAAGGGACACATAACTACTACGCCTAATTAGACGTGTAATGATTTGAAATAAGCGTAGGCATGTGATTGACCACACGTCAGTATGATGCTCACTTGGAATAGTAAAGCCGAGTTCGGCGTAATCACCATACACAAAGCTGAACTGAACAGATGAGTTTGGTTGAATAATTCAAATCGCTATAACATCGCCCAATACAATTCAGCTCGGTCGACTCACACTAGCTCAGTGTACTCATCATTGCGAAGATCATTATATCTTGAAGAATCAGAAGGGGCATTATAATTGATAAGAACGAATTACGGATAAACATTATCTGCTTGCCCGAATAAAAGGATTGACAAAAACGGATCCCAGCATTTATCACTAACAATCCAGTTGAATATAAGATGTGCCATCTCACACTGTCATAGGGAGAGAAACCCTAGAGGAAGGTACAAACCACTATAAATCCCGTGCTAAATTCAATGGTACGCAATAAATTTCCTTGCAATTAGTTATGACTATGCTTTGAACCTATAATGACTTAAGCAATGGAGTGCCTCCAAATGGCCCGTCCTAGTCTCAGGCAATTAGTTTGGTTTGTTGGGGAAGCCATGCAACGCTATTGTTCATTTATTCCAAATTGAACCACTAAAGTAGTAACATTGTGAAATACTTCAATCCAAGATTTATTGAAGATTTCCAAAAACTAACCTACAATCTTCCACTACCTCAATCTCTACACAACAATTAAGCTCACTAACTTATGAGCATCTTGGCATGTTTTCCAGAATAAAATGTGCTCGATGATTAATGTCTAATATTTACATTTATTATTGGGAAAGATTAACTATTTAGTTAATAAAGTTTGACAAATAAAGTAATTTATTTGAGAATTGATGTTATGCTAAGAAAAGATGAGTTGTGTTAATTTTGTAGGATAATAGCATAAAATAGAAGGAAATTAAGGAAAGATGAAGCATAGTTGAGGAGGAAGCATACTGGTATGCGTGTCCGGACAGATGAAGAGTATGCGTCCAGACGCGAGTGGTAGAAAGATGAAAAGTTGATGAAGGAGTATTTTGGAAGTCGTGTCCGGACGGTAAATACATGCGTTCGGACACGTGTCAACGGTCTACCAACGCCAGATTAGGGTTTTACTGCAATTCAATCTTCTCTGGAATGAAGTTATAAATAAGAGTTGAAGACCTTGTTATCTATCTATCTTTTGCTTAAGAATTTGATTTGATTTTATTATTAGTCTTTGCTAATCATGTCTGTCTAGAAGGCTAAGCTAGGGTTAGGGGAGGATCTCTCAATGAAGCATGATAATGTTATTGACTTCTGAGCTTAATGATATGTGATGTTTTGTTAATTCAACTTTCAATTTCTTAGCAAAATTTTGCTCTGTAAAAATCTTTGAGTCATTGTGCCATGTACATTGATTGCTTGAATTTCTCTGCGAGTAAATAACTGGTTATTCTACATTTAAACTTTCTTTATTCTAATACTTTATACAAAAAAGAATTTATATTAATTTTTTTTAGTCAAATTCTATCTTTTTCAGGTGTATTTATATATGAAATCTTTGAAAGTAAAAAAAAAAATTAATATGAAGAATTATTTTATAAAAGGTTTTACATTAGAAATGTTTTTTTATAACGAATGAAATTTTGAGAAAATAATTATGTTTACTAGATGCAACGAATTTTGACAATTATTGTCCAGTCTTTTTCTTCTTTTTTTTTTCCTTTTTTTCTTAAGAAAAAAGGGGGAGCAAAAAAGAGCCCCTAGATACCATTCTAGTAAACCTTCACTTGTGGGATCATGAAATCTATGACCACGTCTATTACTCCTCTCGATAATGAATCTAACTAGACTAGCATAAGTTATCCCGCTGAAAAGAGATTCAGAATTAATTACATAACAAATTAACAACTCTTTCTCCATCATTCTTGTTAACCACTAGTGTCAGCACTTGCCCCCTAGAGTACTCCAGCACTACATATATTGTAAATGCTTATTGTTTGCATATGCTTTACATTATATGCATGGCAGTAAGGAACCAAATTAGTTGATTTTTTACCATTGTTAATAATTGATATACCAGTATATATAATACCTACCAAGTATACAAAAATATTAAAGTATAATTACTTAAAACTCATTTTTCTTGAGATGAACAAAACCAATTAAATTTTTACGACCAATTTGTGATGATATTCTCCCTTACTGCGACCAACTTTGGGAGCTAACTCCCGATGCAGAAATATAGCAAGCGAAGAAACATCTTCTTATTGATACATAACAGCAGTAAAATTGAAACATCATCAATAGGAAACTTAGAACTGTTACTGTTTTCCCCCATCAATACGAAACTTAAAAAACATCATTCATCAAGCCCATTTTGCCATCAGAGACATGCCACCAGCACCTAAAAGAACTACCATGTAGGATTTAATCTGGAGCTTAATGCTACCTTGCAACTTTGGACCCATGAAATCTGCTGCGAGAAGGTCTACCAAAGCCATGTAAATCAAAAGGCCAGCCGAAGATGCATTAAGAAGTCCAACAGTGATCAAAGATCTAGGGCTATTCTCTTTGTATGTGCTCGACAAAGCCAACCCAAGTGCAATTCCAAATGGAGTTGTTACAGAGAAGAAGAAGACCATTATAGCCTTCTTCAAGAATTTGTATTCAGCCTATTTGCAGTCAACATTGTAGAAGTAGAGATAGAGTAATGTCACAGATATATTTGAGCTATCAGAATTAAGGATTGAAAATTAATGGGCTATTTACAATTTACACCCTTTAATTATGGGTCAAGTTTCCAAGCTCCAACGTTATTGCTTTTGTGTTGGGCACATTGTCATGGAAGAGTCATTCTCCACTCAAAATTTTCCTTTTTGATCAACATTTTCTAATCAAATGAAGTTTCAGTTTTTATGATTTTGTTAGAATTAGAGTTTCAATTGACTCCTATGAACTCTTCAATCTGTTTAGTCAATTGGGTTTTAATCATGTGATTGCCTAAGTGCCTCATGTTTTTTATTCATTATAGGTATACACTAAAGCAGTATTGGTTTAGTAAGTGATTTATTGCATGGTGGAAGAGAATGAAGACCTCAACCCAATGTTATTTGCTGGATTTATTATAATGGCAATGGAGAACCATAGAAGTTTGAGAGAAAATTTCATCTATCAGTTTAAGATTGAGAATTTCACATGGGTCTAGATTATTTGCAACTTTGTTTTCATTCAATTAAACATGTTTCTTGGGTGTACCTCAAACAAAATATGAGTATTAATTTTGTTTATTGTACTATCTTAAATGTTTTAGTGGTAAGTGGTCATAAATCTATTTTATTACTATGGAAGTTTTGAACATAAGCATATTTGGGCTTAAAATATGTTGGTTTATTATAAGATATGTTGACCAGTCTTTGCTTTCTTGGGTGGATCTATGCTTGCTTGCTAGCAAATAGCATATACCATTTGCATACACATGGGAATTTGCTGATGTTTATACTCTCTTTTTGTTAGCAGATATTGGAATATTTAATTCCTATGGCAAATGGTTGACAATGCAATATTGAATCACTCACAATTTCTTGAAGCTAAAAACTTTGGCTTAATAGTAGAATGGAGTCAAATTGATGGCTTCTAATGTAGTGTTCATTTTTTTTTCTGTCAACTCTCTGTCTCTCACCACCAAGGTGTTATAATTTTTCTAATTTTACATGTTAAAACATTTATAGATTCAATTAGATTTTTCTATAGTGTTTTTATTTGTGCTTTATATTATATATATAGATTTCCTCTTTAAAGACAAAAATTGAGTTATGAGGATGTTTGATCTTTAACACTTTTGACTTGCTTGGCATACAACAGCTACTGGTGCAGGTTTCATTGCACGGGACATATCATTCGAGAACTGGGCTGGACCAAGCAAGCACCAAGTAGTAATAACTCAATATATGTTTGTCTTCATAATAACCCAGTACATGTTTTCAATTGCTTTATATTCTTTTTAAAATTTAGTTGCTATACATTGTTTTTCTCAGTTTGGTGAACTTGGGAAGTTACTGATCTGTATGTAATCATGTGCATATTTAGAAACTGGATTTGTGATTTTTTTGTTGTAAACTTAATTATGTAAATATGTTGAATAGATAGTTTTGGGTTTGGGTTTGAGATACTTATTAATTTCTGGTTTTGCCCTTGAGTGAATACTATGGTTGTTGATTCAATTTTCTCTAATATATTGATGCAGATACTGTTTCATACGTGACATTGGGGTAATTACGATTCTTAACTCGAGATTTCGTTTGCGAAATCAACCAATTCTCTCTCTCTCACTGCTACTCTATTTTGTTGAACAATATTTCGGATTTGTTTAATAGTCTAATAATCCAAGTTTGTTTAATATTCATGATTTTTAGTATTGTTTCATCTACTTTCACTAAAGATTTGTTTATGTTATTGATTTGATTATTGTCAAATTTATTTACTATCACTAAAATCCGTTTTAATAGTTTAATGTCCAATGTCAATGCTTTTTCTGTATGTAGACATAATAAATTAGGAGAATATTTGCACATTTATATTATCCTGATGTATTTGTATATGTTTTGTTGCTTTGAAGAATTTTTTGTTCATTTTTTACAAGTAACGCAGTGCTTTCAGGCACGGACAATTACTAGTATATATATAAGGTATTATATAAACATGTGAAAAATATTGTTACATTTTAGAACTTTTTATAAAGTTTTAGATAGATTTCTGAAATATATTGAGCCTTATATGGACATGATTCATCATCTTTGAAGGATTTTTAGGATGTTCAACATTGTAGAATTATCTATTATTTTATTTCCATATAATTATCATGCATTAGATTTTTTTTAATTCCTTAATTATGATAATTAGATTGCATCGAAAGGTAAAATACATATGTTCCCCAAACTAGGTGTAATTTAATTTTTAATTAATAAAATTCCCTCGTACCATCGAAATTCGCTAAAAAAAACTTGGTCTATTTAAAAAAGTATCAAAACATGAAGTTGACCTAATAGCTAAAAATTAAATTAGGGCTCTAGGAGACTATTTTAATGGTTAGACTTGTTATGTCTCCTCCCATTCAAATGATCGAAGTATTTGTGTATCTTGTAACAATTGTAATATCTGTTTGGACCTCATTATGGGGTCTTCATCTATGGAACCGATTAAGTGAGACAAATTAATTAATGGATGACGTATAAGGATTACAGGTAATAGCGTTACTCCATATTTTATTTATCAAAAATAATGCGTGGACCGTTACAAGAGATATTGTCATAGTAAAGATGTTCAATGTTATAACATGATGTCACATAATTTTTATTTTTAGTAATTTTTGCATTTAATATATAATAAACATTCGATATGTGTTATTTTATACTTATACTATATGAGTGCAATTGTTCGATAGTAAAATTCATATGAATTGAAAATATACATAGATTATAATGGCTAAGTACATTTTTTTAACAATCAGATTTGCACTTTTATTTGTCTCTTTCATTCTTTGCTTGAACCGCACTTTTCGAAACATAATATATTATTTCATTACTATTTTTATGTTCTTCTTATTTGTTTGTATGTTTTTCAGAAAAATTGTAGTATTAAATTATCGACTATCAGTATATATTCATAATTTTTTGTTATCTTGTTATTGAATTATTTTATTATTTTTTAATTTTTTATGATCTATTACTTGTTTATATATGTAATGCTCATCTATTGTTTTATTGTGTTTTATTTTCTCTGATTATAATGTTATCAATTTTTTTTTATATTAATTATTTTTTATTGTGGATCCTTTATGAAAATGAACAATTTAATTAGTTAGTATTTTTGTATTGAAATGAGAACAAAATCGAGTTTGAGATAAATAGAAAATGTGTTTGATTTATTTTAATTTGTGAAAGAGAGAGATACTTATTATATTTTTTTATTAAAGTGTCAACTTTTTTTTTGTCCTTTGATAAATATGTATGTGTAATGTACATTTGTAAGATGGAGTGCACTTTTAAACCTAAATTTTAAATTTTATTTTGATTTAATCTTTTAAAAGTTTTTTTTGTTAAATTAAATTATAATGAGTTTTAATTTTTGATCTATACTAAATTATTGAACTTAAAAATTTGAGGCATTTTTTATGTGTGGGCCTAAAAGCCCATGCTTTTTCCACTCCACTGTTGAGCCGGCCATGGGTTCTTGAGAGATTTTCTTGGTTGTGCTCAGCAAGTTCTGGTGCTTCTATAAATAGAATTTTGTGACATCATGTGGCTGGATTAAACTAAAGTGACATAAAAAAGATATAAATGGGGACTGGCACTCTCTAGAATTTTTAGATTTACAAGTAGCTCGTACGTACAACTGTACAAGGCCATGGTACGGTATATGTGGCATGTGTTCCTAACGCTCGAGGAGAAGCAAATATTCATTACAATAGTGATATCACGTGACAAAGTGACGTAGTATTATCAATTAATAGTACTAAAATAAATAAGCATATGGAACCTACAAAAATCAATAACTAACTTCTCATGTAAACAAATAACTTCTCACTCTCCTACCATGTAAGTTAAAATAGAATTTATCTTTTCTATTTAAAATTTTATTATTAATAGGCGATATCAGGTCATCGATGATAAAATGATATCACCGTTGTATTCAATATTTACTCCTCAAAGGAGGTGTGTTTTTGGCTATCACATATGGAATGAAGCGTGTGTAGCTGGGGGCAAGAACGTGCTTAACAAAAGTTCCCTGCTATGGCTATTAATAAAATAGAGAAAATTACACCCAGTTTCCTAAAGTTTGTCAATTAATCATTCAGATTGTCTGATATTTAAAATATTACACACAGACCCTTGATATTTGTATGCGCGTAACATTTATACCTCTGCTGTAAATATATCCGTTAATAAATTAAACTTAGACTCCCTAAAGTTTATAGATATATAATATTTAGACCACTTAAGTTTAAAATATTATACTTAGATCAACAATACTTCAATGAAAGATAGAATATCATATATTTTAACAAGGGATCTAAGTCATTCATAATAGAACATGAGTTTTACATCCAAAATTCATATTCTATTGTGTCATTTATTGAAATAAAATCAAATATAAAAATATAATTTTTTTTAAAAAATTATAGTATATAATTACACTATCATTAGAATAAAACTAAAAAATTAAACAATGGGTCAAATTATAATAGACACAATATCTTTAAATTTAATTAGGGTAGTTTGGTATTTTAATTTGGTCGTTTAAACAACCAAATTAAATTTCAATAGACAATATAATTGTATACTAATTACGATTTTTAAAGAAAAAAAATAGAATTTTTATTTTTGATTTTATTTCAATAAATGATACAATAGAATATGAATTTTGGTTGTAAAATTTAAAATATTTGATATTTTATCTTTGATTGAATTTTTTGGTTTAAATATAATATTTTAAATTTAAGGGGTATAAGTATTATATACGTACAAAAACTTCAAGGTGGTCTAAGCATAATTTATTAATTTATATATTTACAACAAAGATCTAAGTATTACGCATGTACAAATCTCAGGAGGTTTGTGTGTAATATTTCAAATGTCAAGGGGTGTGAGTGATTAAATGATAAATTTGAAGGAGTCTAAGTGTAATTTTTCCTAATAATATAAATTACACAAAACACCATCCGTAGGTTTTCCATTCTCATTTGAAGACAAAAAAAAAACAGCTAATTAAATTGTTCATTCTCATAATAGATCCATAGTAAAAACTAATTAAAATTTTTTAATAAAATTATTATCGAAAAATATAAAACAGAATAAAACCGTAGGTGAAGGTGCATACATAAACAAGTTAAGAATCATAAAAAAAATTAAAAATTAGTAAAACTTCTATTTCGAAACGGAAACGGACGTAGTCAAAACATATAAAGATCAGTGCAGTTGCTCATAGGGACATATCTATCAAAATAGAGGATAGTTTAGATCGATTCATAGATAAATCTCTCTCTCTATATACATAATTATCGAGTTAGATCTGAATTCACTATTTCCATTTAAGATAAAAGGCCATTTGATGGCTCCATTGAAGGCTAGAGGTTGGGCTACACTCAAATCGACGGTATTGACTACCATGAAACTTGGCCAAATGTTTCAGTCTTCAGGCTTTTTTCGCACTTAATACCATCTAAAATTGGCATCTTCGTCGACTTACCTTATTTATTCATTATCTATGTCACATCAGATGTTCTATGGACAGAAGTTATTTAATGTTTTAAACTCTTATTTTTTATGGACAGAAGTTATTTAATGTTTTAAACTCTTATATTTTTTTGATTTTGGACTGCGAGAGTTATTTGTTTCAATCTTTATCTTTTTACCCGTAATATGTATTAGTATATATCCAAATTTCGTTCTTTCACTATCAATAGATAA